CAATGAAGCAACAGAAAGAGAAATCAAGAAGCTGATCCCATTCACAATTTCACAAAAAAGACCATAAAATACCTAGGAATAAACCTAACCAAGGATACAAAAGATCTGTATGATGAAAACTACAGAAAACTTATGAAGGAAATTGAAGAAGACACAAATAAATGGAAAAACATCCCATGCTCATGGATGGGAAGAATAAATATAGTTAAGATGTCATTACTACCCAAAGCTATCTACACATTCAACGCAATTCCAATCAAAATTGCACCAGCATACTTCTCAAAGTTAGAACAAACTATCCAAAAATTTGTATGGAACCACAAAAGACCCCGAATAGCCAAAGTAATACTGAAAAATAAAACCAAAACGGGAGGTATCACCATCCCAGACTTTAGCCTCTACTACAAAGCTGTCATCATCAAGACAGTATGGTACTGGCACAAAAACAGACACATAGACCAATGGAACAGAATCGAGAACTCAGAAGTGGATCCAAAAGTATACAGCCAACTGATATTTGACAAAGCAGGAAAGAATATCCAATGGAAAAAAGACAGCGTCTTTAACATATGGTGTTGGGAGAACTGGACAGCAACATGCAGAAGAATGAAACTAGATCAATTTCTCACACCATACACAAAAATAAACTCAAAATGGATAAAGGACCTGAATGTGAGACAGGAAACCATCAAAACCCTAGAGGAGAAAGCAGGAAACAGCCCCTCCAGTTTTTAATGACAAACATTATGGGGAATAGTCTTCCCCATGTGAAATTCTTGGTGTGAGAGCCTATTTGTTTGCCCTGTCTATGTGGGCAGCGTCCCTTTCAATTTTTTTTCCATCTGTATCTTTTTTTTTTTGCAAATAGTTTATTGTCAAGTTGGTTTCCATATAACACCCAGTGCTCATCCCCATAAGTGTCCTCCTCCATGCCCATCACCCCACCATTCTCCCCCAACACCCATCAGTCCTCAGTTTGCTCTCAGCTTTCAAGAGTCTCTCATGGTTTGCCTCTCTCCCTCTCTCCCACTATTCCACCCCTTCTTTGGAGGAACTTAACGGAGGACCTCCCTTTGAATTTTTGACCTTCCTAACCTTTCAGCTGTAGCTACTTCTCTATATTTAATTGTGGAGTTTGTTCTGCAAGTCTTCAGATCACCCTCTGGTTTATTGACTTAGATGTGGATGATATTTAGTTGTAGCTGTGGGATGGGATGAGCTCAGGGTCCTACAATTCTGTCATTTTCCCAAGTTCCTCTCTTTCTTATGATTTTATTAATAACATTTTCTTTTCTCTAGCTTTCTTGATTGTCAGAATACAACCTCTAATACGTATCACATACAAAATCTTTGTTAAGCTGCTATTTGTGTTATTAATAGGGCTACCAGTCAACAGTAGATTATTATTAGTAGTTAAGTTTTGAGGGGTCAAAGGTGGCCAGCACCATTAATCCACTGAATTGTTTAAAGTCAAATAACAGAACTGTTGATTTATACCAATGTGAAAAATGGTTCATAGGTCAGGTTTAACCTCAAGATTTAATACAAATAGTCATGAAAAATAAAACCTTCAGGAAGAAGCGGGGGAAATAGTGGGGGAGAGTGAGGGAGGCAAACCATGAGAGACTCTTGAATGCTGAGAACAAACTGAGGACTGATAGGGGGTGATGGGCATGGAGGAGGGCAAATGTGGGGATGAGAACTGGGTGTTATATGGAAACCAACCTGACAATAAACTATTAAAAAAGCCTTCAATGTGTGCCTATTTATAATAAGATTTTGGTCCTAGATAGTGGCCTTACCCTTCAACTCATTGCCTAACCATCTTCTTCACTGACCTACCACATTTTTAAAAAAATTTTTAATGTTTTTTAATTTATTTCTAGGAAAGAGAGAGAGAGAGAGACAGCGTGAGCAGGGGAGGGCCAGAGGGAAAGGGAGTCACAGACTGAAACAGGCTCCAGGCTCCGAGCCGGCAGTCAGCACAGAGCCCGACGCGGGGCTCGAACCCACGAACCGCGAGATCATGACCTAAGCGAAAGTCGGACGCTTAACCGACTAAGCCACCCAGGCGCCCCAAGACCTACCACTTTTAAATCCACATACACACCCTACCATACCCTAGCACACTTCCCTGCTTCATTTTCTGTATAGCACCTAAAAAATATTTTTCAGCACCTAACATCCTCTAACCTTATAATATAATTCACTCTTTTATTTGTATTTCCTCCACAGGAATGTGAACCTAAGGACAAGAGCACTTGAAAGTGCTCAAGAAATATAATTTGAGGGATGAAATTAGGAATCTCTTGATGACTTCTAATGAGTAGTTTCTATGTTTTAGGGCATGGCCTTTAGTGCATAAGTTGGTTCTCTGAGGCCTCCCCTGCATACGGTTTGGATGAGTGGTAGTTGTTGTACTCTTAGTAGGTACCTGATATCCAAATAGTTCACTTTTCAGGTGTCAAGAACAGATCACCCCATAAACAGCTGGGCACTGGTACCACTATGTCCTTTTAGATGGCCTTTGGAACAATGCACAGGGAGGATGTAATGAGTAAGAAGATAAGGGTTAATTGGCACCAACTGACCTGCTATCTGGATGGTGAACTCTTTCTTCTGTATCAGGAGAGAGTTCTGGATAGAGCAAGACACATTATTGTGGGCACCCTCTCGGACAATCACGGATGTTTCCAGATTGAACAGGCCCTGGGAATCCTGGACTATGGCTTCCATCTTTGGAGGTAGGCATTGTCCTTTATGATCTTTCCACTGAGCCTGGGGCTTGGGGTACCAGCCACTGGAACTGCACTTCAGCTGAATGCCTCCTTCCTTGAAGCCCTCAAGGGAGATGTGAGGGTCTGAGCCCAGCCCTGGGAGAGACGGGAAGAGTGGGAAAGATCAGGCTCCTTTCCAGAAGTTGTACATGATGTTCATGCCACCATTCACCATCTGTAGTCATAATAAGGTATCATGAACTGTGACTGCTCTTAACACACATGTGAGCTCACAGCCCCCACCTGTGCACTGTAAATAACAGTTTATTTTTAAGTTTATTTATTTATTTTGAGAGACAGAAAGAGTGCACGTAATGCGAGTGGGGAGAGGCAGAGAGAGAGGGAGAGAATCCCAAATAGGCTCCGTATTGTCAGCATATAGCCCAACATGGGACTCAATCCCACAAACTGTGAGATCATGACCTGAGCCAAAATCAAGAGCTGGATGCTTAACCGACTGAGCCACCCGGTGCCCATAATTGACAGTTTAATTGATGGTGGCATGTGGGACATGGGGACAGTAGTACCACTAAAAGACCTTTGGAAATATTATGGGTGGGACATTTGGCCAAGAAGAGCTACTGGAATTTAGTCATATTATACAAGGAAAGTTCCTCGAAGTAAAGAAAAATCCCACCCCAAATCTCAATAGATTGTCCTCTGTCTCTCTTGAATCCCACCAGAGTTCAAATGCCTGTGTCACATGCACTCCTTTATTTCTCCATCCTGAGGAGCCAACTTTATATTTTGAATATGCAAAACATTAATACATTTAAAGAACAATACTATAAAAATGTATATCAGGAAAGTCCCAAACCTTTCTCCATCCTTTCTATCCATTGTGCCCTTCCTCCTCTCAGGTAACCAATAGTATTAGTTCCTAGTGTATCCTTCCTGTGTTCCTTTTGTGCAATGTTTATTTTTTCCTTACATGAAAGTGTACATGCTATAGAACTCTTTCACACCTTGTTTTTTTCTCTTACCAACATCCTAGAAGTCCCTCCACATCAGTTCATAGAGTTTCTCCTCATTTTTTCAGCTGCATACTGCAAATCTTTCCAATGTGTGATGGACCATACTCAATACTATGCTTAGATATTTAGGTAGTTTCCACTGTTGTACAATTACAAATGATGCTACAAAGATTAAATTTATATGTATGCCTTTTTTATACTGGAGCTGTAGGAAGTTTATCTTCAGGATAAACTCCTTTGGGTGGGGTTGCAGTTCAAACAATAGATGTGCAAGCAGTCCTGTTAGCTATTGTCAAATCCCCCTGCACTGGAGTTTTGCTCTCAACTCAATCACTAGGGTATAGAGCAGAGGCCCGTTTCCCCACAACTTTACCAAGGGTGTATGGTCAAACTTGAATTTTTGCCAATTTATGAGTTAAAAAATTGCTTCTCAGCGTAGTTTTAATTTGTGTTTAAGGGTCATTTGTATATCTTTTTTGTTCATTTGCTAATGAATCTTTATTTTTAATAGTTTTTTATATTTTTATTTTTAATAGTTTTTAAAATTAGATATATTTTCCCTTTCTCCATGTTTCACTGTCTACTCAACCAAAGCAACTCTGTCCAAATGGATCCCTTTTTCTGTCTCTCCTACTGGGCTTAGCCAATTCACATACCTGCTACCTCCAGCTCCCAGACCGCTTCCCTAGAGAAGTTGCTGGAGAGGAAACGGCACCCATACAGGCCTTCATCAGCAGGAATGATGCTATGGAGCTGCAGGTTCACACTACCATCCATGATATCATCTTTGAGGAGTTTGGTCCTGTTTTGGAACTGCACCATCTGCTGGCTGTAGAGCTCCTGCCGCCCCTGGTACAGGTGTACCACGTCAGAGGTCCTACTCCGGAACCAGCGGATCTCCATATCTTCAGCGTCCAGGTATGGTGACAGGTGGCATGAGAACTCCACTTCTTCCCCCACAAGTGCCAGGATGGATTCCCCAGGGCCTACCACCCTGACCTCCTCTAGGATGAGAAGCCAGAGTTCTCATCAAAGAAAAATTTTTATCACATTCCTTTGCAGCTCAGAAATCTAAAGCAAACCATTCAAATGACAAAAGTAAGACACTTTACAGGACAACAGCTTGTCTTGGCTTCTTGAGCAAATAATTGTCACAAATATACCAGGTTAAAATATACACAAGGGATATTACAACGAGATACAACGTGTGGTGCTGGACTGGTAATTGGTTTGAACCAATCAGCTGCAAATGTTGTTTTGGGGACAATTATGTAAACATGGTCAGGGAAAAGGGATCTTGCTCCCCGCCGCCCAAAAGAGCAAGTTTTGAAACCATATATACACTATTCTTTAATTTGATTAAAAATGACGTATTTGCATAAAAACATGTGCAGGAAAAAAAGGTCTGAAATGAGATATACCAAATGGGTGATGGTGATAATTTCTGCATGATGGAAATAACTATTTTCTTATTTTTTCCTTCTCTGATTTTTAAATTTTTTAATAATGCATATGTACAGCTTCTCTAATAACAAAAGGTATTAACATAATCTATGGGGGCTCCTTGCTTCATGGATTTTCTTATCTAAAGGCCAAATCTTGCCTTCAAGATTTTTATTTATTAGAATTTTTTATTTGATCACCCTTTTTAAAAATTTTTTTAAATGTTTTTTATTTATATCTGAGGGAGAGAGAGAGAGAGAGCGAGAGAGAGAGGGAGCAGGGGAGGGTTAGAGAGAGAGGGAGATACAGAATCCGAAGCAGGCTCCAGGCTCTGAGCTAGCTGTCAGCACAGAGCCTGATGCAGGGCTCGAACTCACGAACCATGAGATCATGACCTGAGCCGAAGTCGGACGCTTAACTGACTAAGCCACCCAGATGCCCCTTGATCACCCTCTTAAATGGTGTCTCCATGTGGTCCCTCTACTCCTTGTTTTCTGCAATTTCCATGAGAGTTACCAGTCCCACTGCAGTCCCTTTGCAGTACTGTTTCCTGCTACTAAGCATGCCCTCACTCTTCTTTCTGGCTTCACCTTTTCTGGTACCTCTTTCTTTTCCTTTGAAGCTCAGTTAAAACCCAATCCCAGAACTCACCTCCCCCTTTTAAAAATAGTTTATTGTCAAGTTGGTTTCCGTATAACACCCAGTGCTCATCCCTACAAGTGCCCTCCTCCATGTCCATCACACCCCTTCCCCTCCACCCCCATCAGCCCTCAGTTTGTTCTCAGCATTCAAGAGTCTCTCATGGTTTGCCTCCCTCCCTCTCCCTCACTATTTTTCCCCTTCTTCTCCCCCACAGTCCTCCGTTAAGTTCCTCCTAATCCTCCTATACGTGCAAACATATGGTATCTGTCCTTCTTTGCCTGACTTGCTTTGCTCAGCATAACACCCTCGAGTTCCATCCATGTTGCTACACATGGCCAGATTTCATTCTCATTTCTCATGTAGTATTCCATTGTATAGATCAACCACATTTTCTTGATCCATTCATCAGCTGATGGACACTTAGGCTCTTAAAAATAGTTGTGATGAACCAAAACTCCCCTTTCGTGGGTCTTTCCTACTCTTCACTTTGTTCATAGAATATAGTGGTGATTTTTTTTTTTTTTTTTTTGTTCACTCCATTTGAGACTCCTTACTGCCCTCTGCGTATAGCCCTAACACACTTCCTACCAGCTTCCCTTTTCAGGTTATCTCAAGCTGCCTCTTCACCCACACCTGATGCCTGGCCCTCTTCCTGAGGGCATGGCCTGCCTCAGTTTACCCTCCATTTGTCATCTTCTTGAAAAATATGTATACTTAAAGAGTCCACTCAAACAGTACTTCCTCTCCAGGGTTCTTCTTGGCTTTTTGGAGAAGACAAGTTTGTCTCTTAGCTGTGCTCACAAACCTTTGGTTATGTTTCTCTTGCAGCCTTAGTCACATACTGAACAGCTTTTATGTCGCATCTATCCCCCCTCTCTTGACCTTCTTAAGGACCTAGTATGTGCCTCGTCATTTTGGTATCCCTGGTTTCCAGCTCAGGGAATTAGAAAATTACATTTGCATAATTAGTTTATATTCTTTTGGCTGCTTCTTTCATGAGAGTTGTTAAGCCTGAAGTCCTTCCTGCCCTTCAAAAGCTACAGCTTAAATATGGGAGTGGAGCACCTGACATGGCCTGATAGGGTATGGATTTCAGCTCTGGGAGCACCTGGCAGGAAGGGTGGGCAGAAGTGGAGGTGCTCATGGCCTGGCTGGCTGGGCTGCAGGTTTGACATACTACCTGAGTTCATCTCTCCAGGCTCAAGGAGAAGAAGGAGATGCATGAAGAAGAAGAGATTTCTGGGCAGAGGTACTTGCTGGGAGAATTCTGGCAAGACTGGGAAATCCACCATTTCTTCTCAGTAGTGTGGGCCACCTGGAGAGGAACAAAGAGATGCTGGAATGGATGCAAGAGAGCTGGAACAGACCAGCAGGCCTAAGGTCTGTTGCTGTCTCAATTATTTTTTATAATTACCTTTTAAAATAGTTCTTACTAATCTCAATGCCTGGCTTCTTTTAAACCATAACCGGATGTGAGAGCTATTTCTAATTTTACCAGGTATCACTGCTAGTGGTGCTCCTGGACATGCTTGGACTCATGAAGCTGCAAGGAGACAAGGCCAAAGGGTCCCAGAGGAAATAACTTCTCAAGTTTGCATTGTTTAGATTCAGGAATAGAGCCACACATTGTGTGTGGGCGCAGCTGGGATTGAGTGACTTTCCCCAAACAAAAGGAAATCTATAAGGACTCTCAGAGGCATTTTCATTCTCCCTGACCTACTTCCCTTTGGCCTAGGACATCAGGTACACAAACAGAGGAACAGACACAGAGTTCTGACGTGGGATTTTTCAGAAGTGAGATGCATGCCTGGCATCAGCCTGCCAGCTCCAACAACAGCTGAGATGCCTTCATCCAGTCCTAAAACCTCAAGTGGAGATTCCACGAGGTCAGCTAGTGACTTTTCATGTCTCTGGAAGATGTCTCTTCTAGGCCACATTAATGGGGTCGTCCTATCTAGCCACATCCCCCATTAAGGGTCTAATAGACCCATCTCTAGCATTGGCAAGGGATGTCCCTTTTCAGTTCTAAAACTCCCATGGGACCTGCAGTAACATTTCACAGTTTGATAGCCAGGGAGTGTGGGCAGCCCATACATCCTGGGAGACATACAACCTTTCCACATCTCTCCTCAGTTTAGTGGTGGGACTTTATGCAGGTTCTATAACTGGCTGAAACTCGATTTCTTTGCCTGAACAATGGAAGAAACCAATGCTGACTCAGGGGCCATTAAGCCTTCCATGGGAGTGCTAGGTGCTCTTTAATAAATAAGAGCGAGCACCTCTCTCTGCCTCCACCTTCCAAACTTCTTGTTCTCTATCTTCTTTTAGAAACTGCACCCTTCTCCTTTAGCTCCATCATAGTACCCACAAGGGGAAGGCAGATTTATTCAGCCTCTCCCAGTCTCCCCTTCTCCCTTTTCTGTCACCCCACCCCTTTGCTTTATTCTCCTTCTTCTGAAAACATGTTCTTGATGTTCTGTGACTGAAAAACCTTACCCACACGGTAATAGCATCGTTAGGGTATAAAGACTGTAAAAGTTGCTGGATCCTATAGCAGAGGAGTGGTCAGAGGAGGTCTATAGTAAGTTAATGGTGTGTGTAAGTTGAGGGGAAGGGAAAATTCCTGAACTGGAAGGACCCAGCCAATGGGAATACAACAGTGAGTGGGTAATGGCCTGTGAATCCCTCCCCTCCTGGAGTTCACATGCAGGTGGGCAGGCAGAAGGACAAGTTAGAACAGCTCTATTAATGCTTCAAAAGGGACCCTTCAGCAGAAGAAGGTCAGAGATTCCCCCAGAGAGGGCTTGGCTACTTTGATGGCCAGTAGCTATTGGAACCACTAGTCACAATAACCAGTATAAATGGAGGCCATGGGCTAAGGTGCAGGTTCTGGCCAGACAGTCTAGACTCTTGTCCTTTTGACTGATGGAAAGAAACTGGCAGCAAAAGACTCCAGAATAGGGAGATAACCCTGGCTTTGCATTTTCTCTCCCTCTCCCTGTTCTCTTCTCTTCTATTTTATGGCTCAGTGTTTTCTGGACTCTCAAGATAGAGCCCCATGAAGGCAATGCCATGAGTGTATATTAGGACCAGCTAGTACCCTGCAAAACATGAGGAGCTCATATAGTATTTATGGATCCATTTAGATCAGTCAGATTTTTAGGAATCAGTCAAGACTTGTTTTAGGTGGTAACTCAGGTTCTCCTACCACACAGCGACTGAGCATTAGACAGGCTCATAGTTAGGGACTGGCATGCCTCAGAAGAGGAGCACATGGCCCGCTTTCCCCACCTCTTGGGGGACAGTCAGTGCATTTCAGGCCCAGGAATTATTAGTGGGACTGCAGTTCTCTGTTGTGATACACCCATGTGAATTTCTTCACTGGGGCTGCATGGGAAGGAGGTCATACATACATACATACATGTGTGCATGCACACACACACAGGCATACCTGTGCTTATGCTTACAGTAATAAAAACTAATATAAATTGAGAACTTACTATTATTATTATCATCACTAATAAGTCTGAACCACAGATAATGAAACTGAGGCACAGGAAGGCTAGGCAGTTTGCTCACATACAAAGCTAGGAGGTGGTGAGGGGCGCCAGGGTGTCTCAGTCGCTTAAGTGTCCGACTTCGGCTCAGGTCATGATCTCACTGTTCGTGGGTTCGAGCCCCACGTTGCGCTCTGTGATGACAGCCAGCTCAGAGCCTGGAGCCTGTTTCAGATTCTGTATCTCCCTCTCCCTCTCTGATCCTTACTTGCTTTCCCTCTCTCTCTCTCTCTCCGCCCCCCGTTTCTGAAATAAATAAAAATATTTTTTAATTTTTTTTTTTAAAAGCTAGGAGGTGGTGGAGTGGGGAGGGAGACAAACTTTCACTTGTCTGGATAGGTTCCTCACCAGTTGTGTTGTTTATCAGGGCTGGATGCACCCTCACTTTTCCTATCCTCCAGAACATGACTTCTGTTAGGGATCACCTGACTATAGCATTCACAGATCTCACATGCACTGAAGAATTAGACTGAGTCCCCAGGTGTGAGCCACAAGACCAAGCTAAGCATGAACAATCAAGCAACCAATGAATAAAAACCCAAATCTCCCACTACTGATAAAACAACTCAAAACTGGAGTCTCCCTCAGACCTTACCAAAAGCATCTTCTTGGACGGGAGGGACACGCCCTGTGGTTGCTTTGCTCCCAATGTACAAGGCATTGAAACACCTTAAATTGGAGGGAGACTGGTGATTTCCTGAAGGACTTCAGAGGAGCTGAATTTCAGTTAGTGCCCTAATGGGACCCACTTCTTTCCACCTACTGCCTGAAGTTTACACTTTCTGTCCTCACTGTCTAGCTTAAAAGCTCTGATCCTCACTTAAGTGCACGTACCCTGTGAGGGGAGACACTTTCAGATCTCTGCTATTCACACCACAGTGTAAATGGATTGTGGTCCATTTCTGGTGAGGAGGTTTTGCTGGGGACAGAGTCTAGAGACATAGGAAGATGGAAGATGGGGAAGATGGAAGACCCAGTGAGGAGAAGGACAGCCAGAAAGAGAGTCTTGGGCAGGAGCCAACCTTTGCAAGTGGGGCATATTCTCTATATTCTCCCAGATACTCTGGGATGTCACCTGAAGACACTCGGAGGCATAAGGGTTTCACACACTTAAGATGAAGAAATGCCACCACCCTCCACCTAGGGAGGCAGCCCATTTCTCTCTTTCCTTCTTTTCTTCTCATTTTCTCCCTGGCCTCACTCCAACCCTACCCCAATCTTCTCTTTCTGCTTCTCCAATTCCTAAATAATACCTGATGTTCCCTTAGTTTGCATTCCCTCAGCTCTTAAGTATCTCTCTAAAGATTATTTTTTTGCTCTTACCACTCCCATGAGCTTGGGCTGTGCAACAGCAGTGTGTTTGTCCTTCTCCCATTCCTGCATCTCAAGCTGTACACCTTGAGGGGTAGAGTACTCTCCCACCCTCTCCCCCTCCAGTACCCACTGCAATGTCTTGCCTTCCACAAGCTGTCAGTTATGCTCACTGGCTTACTCTTGTTTGATTTCAATTGGCCCACAAGAGGATTTCCACCCCTAGTCTCCAAGGTAGATGAACTGCCCCAAGAAAGGACCTCAGGAAGCCCGCAGTGGGGAATGAAGACTATCAGAATCCTACCTCCTCAGGTGGACCTGCCTGAATGAATATCTCCTGTTGTCCACACTTGAAACAATGAATTCTGAAGCCAGATTTAGCCTATAAAATGGCACCAACCCATCTTGTCTTTTCTTCCAAACTATTGTTTTCTGCTTTCCATTCTGAAAGGTAGGGGTTTAGACAGTTGTTGAGAATAAGCCACGTACCTGGCAGGAAGCAGCAAGGGTCTGAAATGGCAGATGATTCCTGGTGATCTTAGCTCCCTGCAAAAGACATGACTGTGGTAAAATGTCTTGGTCTCAGATACTAAGGTCCCCTGGACATGAACTTGCAGCTAAGTTCAGGGGACCAACCCATCTGTGACAGGATTACCCACCCATCTTCTACCTTAAAACATATGCTGTTTGCTCTGCGCTTTGTTATATAAAAAGATAGAGAGAACAAAACGAGGAAGTCTCTGTCATATCCTGTTTCCGTGAGAAAAATTATGAATTGGTATTTCCATAGACAATATCCCCCTAAGGTCTTAGAAGGAGAGGAAAGGTAGCTGGAAGCTTTGCAGAGACTTTGAATTGCAGAGGCTCAGAGCAGGGAGAAAATACTCCAGTTGGTTGCCTGAGATTTGGGGAGACCCAAGGAGACAAGATGTCCATCTTCAGCTAGCCCCTCTCTTCTCAATGTCACAGAGAAAGATGCAGAGACTGGACTGGACTATGCATTAATGGCTGGTACCCAACTTTTAACCAGCTACACTGTTCTCTGCATGGCAAGGGCAGTAAAGAAAATAGCCTGGGAGCATTGCCATAAGTAAAACCTGCAAGAGCTATTCACATACACCTTGGAAATAGAGTAGGGCACTGGACTGAAATTTCTCCAATGGAGTGGAGCTCAAAAAAGAAGATACAAACACATTTCACCCCACCCCATTACCATAGGCCACAGTGTAGCCACGTGGTTGTACACCTCACTGATATCCTTCCTAGGGGACAGGCCAGAGCTGGGGCACAGGTTACCTCAGGTACATGCAGGATACTCTCAAGGACTCCTGGAAATGCCTGATTGCTTGTGGAGGGGCCTGTGAGGAAACCAGGGCTTTGAGTAAGTGGAGGTGAGAACAGTGAGCTGAAGGTGACATTCCATG